CACATTGATGCCCACGGAGTAGCAGCAGCGTGCTCGCCCCAACCGCTAAAAACTGTAAACCAAGCCCTAAGCCCTTGACCCTAAATGTAGACATTAAATCAGAAGGCGTAAGCTTGGAAATTTACACGATATGGCCGTACCATCAACTGTCAGCTTCCAGCTGAACCTTAGTAGCCCTAGCCCTCACTCTATTTGTAAGAACGAGATCGTTTTGAGGTCCCCTCCTGCACTTGTGTGTTGCTGCTCCTTTCGTTACTGAAAATGAAGCACAGCTGAGCACAGTCACTGTTTTAAGTACCACTGAAAAGTCCATTAGAGAGAGCTGGCCTACTCATACTGGTACTAGCAGATTACGGGGCATTCTGCGCCTGCAAGGACGTCCCATTGAGATATTTATGTCTTCATCTGCTCAGACGCAATGCTGCGTCCACTCTCGTGGCAGTGGATGTTGGGACATTTGTAGATGGGAAAGGTGCAGGATCTTCCCGCAGTGTTAATGGTGCTTCTACCGCGGTTGATACCACGATGACAGCATTCAGAAGTACCGTTTTAGGAAGAGAGGAAGGCTGTCACGTAGAGGTGTTTCTACGTTTCTTAATCAGTGATAGTACAACTAAATAGGAAGCAGAGTCAGGCGTGCGTCCACGCAGTTGCAGGCATGAGTCTAAAGTCAAAAATGCCGCAAAGAGAACTAACTGTGAGTAATACGTCGTATTCGAGGCACGAGTAGCATGCTCCCTGGCATATGGAGGGGACTAAGCAATATAACCACTAGATGGAGCACAGTAGGCCTTTGGTTGCTTGGGTAGTGTGGCATAAGAGAAGAGAGTGAAAGCCTCACCATGCCTCCAAGAACTACCCGGAGTCGTCGAGTGATAAATTTACTTGGCGCAACATGTAGTTTCATGCAGTTGCCTGCATCTGGACTACAAGCCTTTCATCCTGCACGTTTCGCTACCAACTGGAGACGCTTTTTTGAAGAAATCACGTGGACTCGCCACGTCGATCGCATGAGTCCTCTCTTCCTAACGAACATCTTGTTCCTGCCTACTGCGCTCGTATAGATAACATTAAGTGATCCGATGGCGTCACTCTGATCTGCTGGGTACAAAGAACTACTCACTAGCTAAGTTGTCACCTCACTTGCAGTTTTGCTGCCCGAGTTCTTTTACAAGTGAGAGAAAATAGAACACCTCGTTTCTCCGAACTACAGATGTAAAATGCACAACAGAGCGCTGGCTCAACAGCATGAGGAATGGAGGACGGTTGAGTGCCCAGAAGAGTCTGTGATGAGTCCCGCCAAGCTTATGGCTTCCCGGAACAAAAGCTGCCGCAAAGCAGCCTTCGATGCTTTCCCAGGACTCTCGAAGAATTCACGTTCGCCGTAGTTACATTCTATAGTGCAGATCTTGGAGAAAGGAGATGAAGGTACGTGTTCACACCGCATCATGTGCTAGGTGCAACCACGGGCATGTCGGCACTTTGAGTTCGTGGCTTCACCAGGCCAGGAAGAAGGGATGGCGAAAGCTCAGACAGTGGCTGCGCTGAGCCTCCAATAATAAGAGTGCAGGCTAGAGCAGAAATCAAAAGCCTTCCAGCTGTAAGGGAAAGCAGAAAGCTCAGCGTGACCCTAGCGTCGTTCTCCTCCTGCAGGATAACTAAGTCAACGGAAGGTAGCTCCTTGTGCGCTTGGGTGAACTGACGAAGGCACAACGAACGTAGGAAAGGCTCGCAAAGGATTTTCCAGAGGAGATGCAAGGTGCTGTGCACTAATGAAGGTGATAAAGTTTCTCCTCCGCCAAGGCAAACTCCACTGGCAGAGCGCTTGCGCCTTATCCCAAAGCAGCTTTCACCATACCAAACATGATATTGAAATCACGTACTCGTGAAGAGCACTGCTCAGCCTTGTTTAATTTTAGTAAATCACCGTAGTGAGGTACAACTGCTTTGCACGAAGCACCCTGTGTGCCTACTCGGCCCTTCAATCATAAACCCCCAAAGTGGAAAATTTACCTGGGTGCCCACTTTGATAAGGGAGTAAATCGTGTTAATCAAGCCAGATGATCCACCAGATCGTTGCCAACCCCACGCAAAAGGTTTCATTAGATGCTATCATAAAGCGCGATTTGTTGCATGCCCTCGGAGCTAAACTATTGAGATTAGCGCAAGTAACAATACGAAAAATACCAACTTTTGACGAAGGCTTCACACTTGCACTGCCGTCCGTCGCGACCTTTTTCCTTCAGCAACAAGATATGGGTCGACGAAGAGGCTGAGTCTTAAAAATGCTGCCATTTAGCACGCAAGCAGGATCGGCCTGCGAACCTCTATGCGCCCTTCTCGTCATGGCTACCAGTATCAGCTTGCCAAGCACCATCTGAGCGTCAAAAGACGAGGTCTTTTGCACTAGACTTGCGGAAGAAACCCTTTGCATGCAGCTTCTTCTACCGAGCTAAGCAATTTCTCTGTGGCCAGTGGCCGTCTGCAACACGACTCTATACACAGCCAACTAAACTCGAAGCGCGTAACAATGGTTTTGTGCTCAAACGAAGCCACATGAACCCTGTACAAGCAGGCAGAGGCACATAACAAGAGGCTTCCCCGTGTACCGTGTGTTTTAGGCCTTTAATAGGGATATCATGTCCCCCGGCCCAGATTATACAAATGATTCTTACTCCAGAGATAATCAGTAGCGGAGGGCCGCTGACTTGCACGCAAGCCTTCGCCAGTGAGCTCCGCAAAAAACGGCGCAAAAGAGCTAACGCTGTTGCTGATGGATTCAGGCCGGAAAGCCTAGTCCCCAGCATTTCCTAGTAGGCCTCGGCCGTATCACTGGCGACAAGCCTGAGGAGTGAAGCGCGCTATAGTTAACTAAATAGGCTATACAAACCTGTATGCACGTCGTGCTGGAGGAGCCGGCAGAGCAACAAGCCGCCCCAATGGCTCTCAGTGAATTTTTGGAACTGTGTATCTAAATGGCTTTGTCGTCTTCAGCAACATTTTTGAAATTAGGTTGAGACGCTGCCGCAAATGCTGCCGCATTTGTTTTTAATTCGTCTTGGCTAATTTATTCAGTCGTACCCCAGCTAGCGCTTCATCTGCTGCTTGTCGAAACGTCTCGTGCGTGGTGCCCCAAGATGCCCCACTCGCGGGAATAGTGTTTTGACTTGCCAGAAAAGAGTGCAGTGCTTCCACAAGTGGCCCTTACTTACACGACCGAATACTGCAGGCTCTCTTAGTGAATGCAAGTGTCGTACTGTGTGCTGTTTTCAGTAAATAGCTATTTCCCATCTGAGCTCGCGAAAGACGAATTGCGGTAAAGTTTCAAAGTGCAAGTGAAGAAATGGTTGTACCGAGCTTTAGCAGCCCAGGAGTTGTGGCTAGTTGAGAAAGGGCGACATCTCAGGCAAGGCTTACAGCGTTGAAAAACTTGACAGGTTCGCCTTGTTTCAGGATGTCAATGCCAGCTGACAGTGTCCAGACTGCGAACATCCACACCATTGTACTTTTATTCCTACGAGTCCTTCTTGGGGTCCCGCTGCGCAGATCTAACCTAACTACCATGCACGCACACCACCACGCTGGAAATGAAGCCCTTCTTGCGGCAGCCAGTGCAGTGTTTTGGCCACTGATCTTTTGTAGCCTGTGGAGATCGTTGGAGCATCTTGGGTTTCACCAAAGACACCACTTTCGATGCTTACCCCTTGCTTACCGTCCTTGAGACTCGGCTTGCCTCATCTATGGAGATGCGCTACCTAGTCAATTGACGGCTTGTCACCGTTTTACACATCCGCAGTGCTTCAGTTGTAAAGGCACTTCTTTTTAAAGCATGTGAGAAACCCTCAGCAAGAGCACTTAGTTCTAGCCAGAAATCCCTATCATAGATTAATCTCGAACTGGGCTGGTACGTCCTCTTCGTGCAGCTTTCTCAAAAAAATGGCGCCCCTAAGCCCTCTTGACGCAGCTTTCTTAGAGAAATGACGCTTCCCTGGGCACACTCGCTGGAACGGAGGTCAATGGTCGTGCAGTAGAACAGGGTCTCATTTATAAGTGGCCAGACTAACGTTTCGGACCCTTATGAGCTGCGGGGAGTGCCGAGTATTGCAACAGAGCAATAGATAAAGAGGACGAAAAGCACAGGAAAAGGTCCTCCCTCTTAGCACCGCATGGTTTCGATCCATGGACCTGGGGGTTATGAGCCCCCCACTCTCCCACTGAGCTACGGCGCTGCTATAAGCACAGTGTTTGAAAATGTCGCTAAAACGCCAGAGAAAATGTGCCCTTTTTCCTTTTTAAGGCAGATGGGTTTTCTGGCTACCTTCATACACCGCGGCCCTTCCACTGGAATGTACGCTTTTTTGAACGAGGTCACGACAGTGCCGTGTGTGCACGACCGAACATACAAAACATCGTGTTTAATGGAATGCTGCATATTCTATACAATACCTAATCAAGGACAATCAATAATTAAAAAGTATGAGGACAAATCTACCATACTATGTGCATGAATGATCACTGGCTGTCCAGCAGACTTCAGGGCTGGCAGGCGTCGGCAGCCCCCACTGGTTTTTCGCAGCTTTTGCATGAAGGCGATCTTTATGAAATGAGATTTACTCTATTTTTTTGTTGTGGTTCATCTATGAAAGGCGAGGAAAGGGGACACAAATGCTTAGTCAACGTCTCCTGTCGCCTGCAGCCCGCTGTCTGTGCCGCTGCCGAACCTCTCGCGGCATAGGGTCCCTACATCTTTTCTTGGATGCTTGCTTATGCAAATTATAGCTTGTATTGAATCTATATACTCTTAAATTTTCATTGCAGCCTTTGACCTCCCCCCTTCTGCTCGGTCAGCAGGGGAAGAAGGGCCCCTAAGCGTGCCCAGCTGCCAAGGGCGACAATCGTCTCAGGCGCTCCAGCTTACGCACTGCATTTTACAACAACAGCAGCAGCAACACTTGGTGTTGTGGCCTGCTGCCGCAGCAGCCGCTGCTGCTGCCGTAAAGATGGGCGCAAACCCCACCACTCTGAACTCTTCTAGGCGAGCCCGTTTATCAGAAGCTACAGCGCAGTTGATAGGTAAAGGGCAGCAACCCAGGGATCTATATAAACGCAGTAGCAGCGCTTCAACTGCCCAGCAGCTGCAGCAGCAGCTGCCGGAGCAGCTGCTGCTGCAGCTGCAGCAAGTCCGGCTCACCATCTGCTCTGAGGCAGAGATAGCCGACACCCTGGCTGGTCAGCTTCCGTTGCTGCTGCAATTTGACCAAGGAGAGAAGTCGCCTATTCAAGTATGGGTACGAAAAGGCCTCCAGGGCTCCTCTTCGGACCCTCCAGAGGAGGAAGCGGCAACTCAGTTGAGGCCTGCACTGCAGCTAGTTTGCTTAGATCCCTTCCAAGTTTCGCGGCTACGCATCATTTTAAGTAGAGTTGGGGCTGCCGCATCAGCGGAGGCTGCGGCCCTTGCGAGCAAGCTGAAATGTCCGCACAGCCTCGACCAAATGGATGACCTTCCGGTGTTGCGTAACTGCGCCAGCAGCAACTGCTCCAGCAGGCCCCAGGTGTATGCGGAAGCAAACTCCACAGGCGAGCTGATGCTGCGGGTTTGTGCCCCGCCAAGCCCGTGGAAGCTGGCTTGTCTTTGGAGGCAGGATTTCTACACTGCATTCTGTCGCTTGTTGCAGCAGCAAGACCAGCAAGAAAGAGATGCGGCTATTGTCAAGATTGCTGGTGAATTGCCTCTTCGCTTTTGGCAGATTGAGTGGCTCAGGCTGCAAAGACTCTTCGGGTCAGCGCTTCAAGAGCTATTAACAATGCTGAAGCAGCAGCAAAAGCAGCAGGGGGAGGAAGTGGGAGACTGCCCATACGTGCGCCTTGCCTCCAACCTAACAGCAGCATCAGCGGCAGCACCCACAACACTAGCCGCAACTACAGCAAGGGATGCAGCAGAGGAGGCACTGCAGATGTGCTGCTGCAACATGTGCGGGCTTGAGGCCTCCGAAGAAGGCGACGG